AAAGCGCTGTAATATGTCTTTGATATTACACATTTGGGCAATTCCACGTTAATGTTACGTTAGTCTGTACTTAACTACGTATTTCACTAAAAAATGCAACATTTTAACTCGGTTTTTGGTAGATTTTTACGTGACTAACATAAGGCTACCGTGGAAGTGCCCATTTCGGTTACAACGACATTCGTTTATAACGACACTATTTTTAGGTCCCTTTGATGACGTTATAACCAAGTTCTACTGTATTTTATTTTGGAGTTAGAAGTGACTAAATAATTTTAACTCTGTCTCTTTACTGAAGATCCTGCTTAATATCAGGATATGTCACACCAGTCTTTGATAGCTGGAACATGAATGTAGATGTTAAGTTTCACATGTTTGTTTTTCAAGGGCAAAAAAGAACAATGTTTGGACTAAGCATTTTATGATCTTGGCTGAACATTAGTTATCCAGATTTCTAGTAAACATTTCATTGTGAAGATCAAAGAATTCTTGCACCAAGGAGAAATTCTGATAGACACAGAAAAGAGAACTGAATTATTTAAGTATCTGTATTGTTGTGATTAATGTTAAATTTACATCAAGCTGGACTTTAAGTAAAATGATCTATTCATACTTTTGTTTTAAATTTGGTATCTAGTAGATTATTACAGAATATCAGTGACTTTCCTGAAAGGAATAATGAATGTTTCTGCCTGACCAAAATAATAGGAAGGCTATTTTTCTCATTGAAATCTTATATAATATGATTTTATTTGATGTTCAAAGACTGTCTCTAAGTTTGCACAGATTGCACCAAAACTTGAGTCTAAATATCACATTCTTTTTAGTAATGATATTGTAATAAGAAAATCTATTAATAAAAGGTCATCATCATTGTTATCGTTGATGATGACAGTGATAATGACAATACCACTGCTGATTCTCATCATCCTAAACAAAATCTCTTTCCTCTCACAGTCATTTGAAGAAGGGGATATATTGTGTATTATGTCTGTAATACATTATGCAGTGTTGAATGGCAAATATAATTTAGGTACAATGCATCAGGATGCCATTGTACCAATATGTTGAATATATCTGTGTCATATAATCTCTTTGCATATCATTTTCAGTCAGGTGATATGCGTACAGTGGCTGCTGAAGGTCTGTGCAAGCTTTTGCTGAATGACAGAATAAAATCACCAAACCTTGTGTCTCACCTGCTTATCATGTGGTACAACCCTGTTACAGGTATGGTAGGTATAGTACTGTTGAAAAGAACTGCTATGAGAACCTCAGACCCTATATAATATTTGCATAGAATGCAGTATAGAGACGAGGCATAGCATGTTACAGGTCATGTACATATACTAAGGTGCTATCAGAAACTTCCTGGACTAGGTCAATTTATGCAATTTTGGCTGCCATCTCCTTCAAAATAGTCTCCTTGGGAAAGTATACATCGATTCCATCGTTTTTTCCAAGCTTCAAAAGCACCATGGAAGTAATTTTCCTTAATGCTGTTGAGTACCGCTTATGATTCTCTTTGGATGTCAGACATTGCTTCAGAAGTCTCCTCATTTTCATTTTCAATTTTTGGAAAACAATGCAAAATCACAGGGGTCTAAGTTTGGCAAATAGGGAGGATGGGCAATGATAACCATATTATTATTATTAGTCACAAACTCTGGTGTTCAAGGACATATCGGCAGGCACATTGTCATGGTGAAGGAGCCAGTTGTGGTTGTGCCAAAGTTCTGGTCTTTTTTGTCTCTCATGCGCTTCAAGACATCATGTAAAAGTTGGCGTTGAGTGTAGTGTTAGGAGGAACAAATTCACAGCGAACAATCCTGTTCGTGTCTAAAAAAAAACAATGAGAATGCTGTGTTGAACTTCGGACCTGCTGCGCCTCTTTTGCTCCTAGCGATTTTGGGCTCTTCCACTGCAATGATTGCTGCTCTTTTTCTGGATAATAACCATAAATCCAACTTTTGTCATCCATTATGATCCTAGAGATAAAAGATGGATCCTCATTAGCCTTGTAGCTCAAGACACATGTTTACCTGCTGCCGTTTTTGGTCATTTGTCAAGAATCAGGGAACAAATTTCACAGCAATGCAACCCATGTTCAAATTATCTGTTAAGATCTCCTGGCAGACTCCATAACTGATCCCAGCAGTGTCTGCAAGCTCATTGATTGTTCTCAAATGTTTTCAATATGTTCTGTTGTTTTGCTGGTGCTTGGTAACCCTGCACATTCGTCATCTTTAACTGACCTTGAAACATGAGTGCCATTCAAAAACCACTGTCTGGCATAAAGAATATTCTTGAAAACCCTCACAAAGAATTTCATGGGTTTTTGTAGTGGATTTACCAAGCTTCAAGCAAAATTTGTTGCCGACACATTGCTTGATTTTACCATCCATTACAGAGAAAACAAAACATGAAATTGAAAAAGCACTCGTGTAAAAACAGTGTGTGTCGTGTGGCAGACTGATGCAGTAGGCTTGCAGAAATTGACCTTGGCCTTCCCTCTCATCTTCCTTCACCAAGGCATTTACGACAATAACAGTCCGGGAACTTTCCGATAGAACCTCATACTTAGTAAAGGCAGTTGTAGGAAAGTATGTTGGTTTGTAACAATGATAAAGGACTGTAAAGTGATACTAGGAAACAGATTTGGAAATGGGTCCATGAAAATGGAAGCATCCTACTGAAGATTGTCTTAACTTCTGTTGTAAGTTGAAGATTTTGGCCTCTTGGTGCTTGATGCCATGCGGGCTTTAGGAAGATGCACTGCCTCCATCTTCATTCCTCTACCCAGAGGATGGGGAGACAGCGCTCCTTTGTAACACTGGCAAATGTCTACCAGACTACTCAGCATCACATCCTATAAGATATTAAAATTCATGGTCACTACTGTAAGAATTTGAGATCTTTATTGAAAGTTGTGAGACTGTGAAGAGTACTGTTTTCTGGGCTGTGATACCATGTAATTTAGTATTAGTTTACTGACATTTCAGAGGAATGTGGTAGCTCCATTTTAAGTGTTGAATAGTAAACCTGCCAAGCAGCAAGCAGAGCCATTGCTTTCTGCCTTCTTATTCCTCATTTCTGAAGATGGAGGCAGTGCATTTTTTTAAAGTGTCAGTAAGTTTCTGCCATATTACATGGTGTTATATCTCAGAAGGCACTATATTCCAATGTAAGTTATTTGTTGCTGCAGAAGGAGATGTATACCTGAGACAGATGCTTGGAGCATTCTTCACAACATTAGCATATGACAGTCAGAACGGACAAGAGGCACTGGAACAAGCGTTCTTACCAACACTTCGAACATTATTTCAAGCTCCAGTTACCAGTCCTTTAGTAGAGGTGGACCAGGACAGTGTTGTGCGTTTGCTGTTGAATCTTACTCGACCTGATATTAACAAGGTATGGGGATGGCTGCTGGAATAAATAACTTCTAAACCATTTTCAGTCATGTTACCCACTCCTATTCGGACAGTTTGTAGCCCCAGAGTTTATCCCACACACACACACACATGTAAAAAGAGATATATGTATGTGTAGGCCATGCCATAGCTCAAACAGTTTGTTGCTGGCTTCCAACCATGTCGGCCTGGTTTCGATTCCGGGTCTGGTCAAGTGGGATTTGTGTTGGGCAAAGTGGCGCAGGGGAAGGTTTTTATCCGATTACTTCGGTTTCCCCTGCCAATCTTCATTCTACCAATTGCTCCACAATCTCCCTCACCTATCATCTGGGGCTGGTACAATACGCCAGAAGTGGCCACAGTACAAGGGACAAGCTCAAACGGTTTGTCACTGGCTTCCCACCATGTCGGCCTGGTTTCGATTCCGGGTCTGGTCAAGTGGGATTTGTGTTGGACATAGTGGCGCAGGGGCAGGTTTTTATCTGATTACTTCGGTTTCCCCTGCCAATCTTCATTCCACCAATTGCTCCACTATCACCCTCACCTATCATCTGGGGCTGGTACAATAGGCCAGAAGTGGCCGCAGTACAAGGGACTTAGTACCACCCCACTAAAAATAAAAGTAAAGCTATCCCTGTACCAGGCCGTGAAGGCCCATAGTGTCGTGAGACGTTGAGGATCCCACATTATCTAGACAGTCGGCTCAAAGATGGCAGCAAGGTTGTCAGCCTTACATGCCGGCCGCACTTTACTCACCAGGAAAATTATTTAATTAATTCCTGCTACTCATTTCTGTTAGAGGCTGAGTAGACCCCAGGGCCTAGTGCTGCTGGAAGGATTAGGTCAACTGAAAAAATCCAATGACCTCATAGTAATGGAAAAAAATATAATGTGGGTGCATTTATTTAGGCACTAATTAGATTCTTGGTGTTAGATCACCTTGGAATATGAATATTTTCACTCTGGTGCTTAATATCGTCTGAAGCTTTTCCACTCTTTAATTTTAATTTTATCATGAAGATTACAGCAACAGTGAACTGTTATATCCAAAGATCATCATCAGTTTGCAGAAAAGTGTGGAATGTCGTGATTGCCATAACTAGTGATTTGAAACTGATACAAAGGTTTCCTTAATGGTTGCTTGTTGTAAATTCCAAATATATCCTAAGCATTGCTTTTGGCATCTTGCCTAGTAGAGAGAAATAAATTTCATGCTGAATTTTGGTGGAAAACCTCTCAGAAAGCTACCACTTGTAAGATGATTAAGATGGATCTTTGGGAGATAGATTGTGGAAAATGTAAAGTGGGTGGACTTGGCTCAGGATTTTGTCCATCAAAAGGCTTTGGGTTCTACTACTGTGCAGGTAATACCCATAAATTCCAGTGACTAATACTTAGAAGAAAGCTAATGAGGGTGATGGCAGTGCTGATGGAGATGAGTAGAAAAAATGTTTAACAATCAGTACTTTTTAACCCATATGTTATTGCCATGTATAAGAGGTAAGTGTGACTAATAATTGTGGGTTCTAGATTTGATGTTTGGATTTATTGGACGGCCCTTTTACAGTTACTCTTGATTACAAGAGCTCACAAGTTGAACTCCTTTTTGATAATTAATCTCTCACTGTTGTCTGGATCTTGAAGGGTCTCTAGTCTATTCTCAGCTACGACTGCCTGCAAACAACCTTTGTTGTCCCTTATAAATCTTTGGTAGGGACAATGCACAGAAAAACAGCCTCTGTGTTGTTGTGTGACATCACCGCCCATGCCGGAACATGTTTCCGAGCTGTTGTGTAGAAATAGGTTGCATAACCCCATTGATGTGTTGTTGCGTGCATGTATTACTTAGCAACGGCTGTTTCTGTGGCTCGACAGTATTTTTGTTTTATTGCTTGGTTTATTTAATAAGATTTTTAAACTGTAGAGTTTATACAGTGTCAAATAGGAGGATGTTGTGAATGATAGCTAGGGAGGATGTTGAATAAATCTCAGTCTGGTCCTTAATATGGTAGAAGAGTGCTGTAATATTACCCTCTTCATCAGCAGTGTGAACTTCAGAATTGTGCTCATGCTACAAAGCCAGTCATTATAGCAAAAATTATACATAAATTACCAGATACTTCTTTTTTTTTATCCATTCTGATCATCCAGAATATCTCCTTCAGTAAGTTTTCACCACCATTGAGCTACATAGTCCATCCTTTATACATCCCCTGATTTAACTTCAATAACAATCTGAGGAATCCCCTAAATCATTAAGTTCCTTATTATCCTGAAACCCACTTAGGATGACACTGGCTAGAACATTTTACTACCCAAAAATATTAAAGTAATTTGGTTCCAGAAATGTTTACATGATTTATACATATATGCCGACTCAATACATTATAATTTAAAAGGGTTTTCCGCCTAAGAAGCATACAGTGAATGACATGGAACTCCTACTTTTTTTTTATTGCTAGTGGGTGGGACTAAGTCCCTTGTACTACAGCCGCTTCTGGCCTATTGTACCAGCCCAGATGATAGGTGAGGGTGATTGTGGACCAATTGGTGGAATTAAGATTGGCAGGGGAAACCAAAGTACTCAGAGAAAACCTGCCCCAGTGCCACTTTGTACACCACAAATCCCACTTGCCCAGACCCGGAATCGAACCTGGGGTGCCGTGGTGGGAAGCCAGTGACTAACTGCTTGAGGTTGATGCAGCCAACAACTGCTATTTCACCCACTTCAGATGCTCTTGCACCGAAATGTATACAAGGTAAAAGTTGTGATACCTGGCACGTCCAGGTCCAGATGATTTTCTGGATATTAGAACGTTACACCAGATGTTTATTTTAGTGTACCTAACAACTTTTCTGTAGTAGGCATCCTGTTACATTATTTTATTCAATCTTGTTTACATACAATTTTCCTTTAATAATGCAACTATTTATTTCTTCATTCACATTTGCTTTTGCTATTACCACAACATGTTTTGGCCCCAAGCGCTCATCCTAAGGTGTCCCATTATGCTGAATATGCTACACTGTCATGCGTTAAATCTTACATGTTTCAGTTCACTTCATTTAAAATCAATTAAGAACCATTAAACTTTTTAATTATATAAAACTCATAAGGGGTGTTGTCCACTAGTCTAAGCAATATAACCTTCAGTTGTTTACGTTGCAGTGTCTCACCCTTTCCATATGGAAGCCCGTTATTATGTTTTGTCTGCAATTTTGCCCTTTGCTTGTAACATATCAAGACACCTGAAGATGGCTGTTTGGGGCCGAAACATGTAGTGTCAAGGTGTATAATGTTAAACTAAAAAATTGAGTGGTGAATGGAAGAGTGTTGCAGTATTGACGGACGATAAATAATGGACATAAGTTGAACAATTGCAACAGGATGCTGAAATACAGAATCGAAAATGTAGAGAATTGCCAGTGAGCAAATGTTTGTTGTAACTTGTACAGAACATTTGATAACCGTGCACTTCGGAGAATGTGGTCATAC